TGGACGCAAAGAGTTTGAAAACTCGGACAAGAAATTGTCGCCGCGTTTGCACGTATGGTCACACCGATAATCTTTGAATAACGGGTTGCTGTATTATAGCACCGATTTGACGGACACGCCACGTGTTCTGGCTCCTCACGATGAGAATTTCAAATACCGTATAATCTTTGAGGCCCACGGCACCCCACGCAGTGGTCATCTCGGTCGTGAGAAGACGTACAGCTCAGTCAGTTGCCACCGTTGGTGACCCAAGTTGTGTAAATGGACGATCGCCTATGTGCGCACGTATGAGACGTGTCAAAACACGAAACTCTCTCCGAATGCAGCGGCACCGATGGCCAGTTTGCTGGAACCTACCGGGTGTTGGCAGTCCCTGAATACTGACTTTGTGTTTAGCCTGTCCAAGGACTCGGCGGGTAACACGAGTGTGGTGGTTTTTGTGAACCGTTAAAAGAAAATGGCTCATCTTGCGGCAGTGCCGGACACCATCGACTGTGTCGGTACAGCGACGCTGTTTGTGGATAATGTCTTACGACGACATGGACTTCCGGAGTCAACTATCTCAGACAAAGACCCACGCTTTCTGGGAAGTTTTGGTCGACGATCTTCAAGATGCTGAGCATCAAGTTGAATATGTCAACAGCAGGCCATTCGCAGACCGATGGTCAAACTGAGCGCATGAATTGCGTCGTTGGAGACGTCCTTAGCGTATACGCTGAGACGCCGAGGCCACGCTGCCACTCGTAGCGGTCGCTATGAACAATGCAGTGTATGCGTCTACCAGCTACACGCCGTTTTACGCAAACTGATTCGTTCATCCTCGCGTTCCTCTGACACCAATATTTCATGGTTCAGGGCTATGTGGGCGATGAATAGCCGAGCGGCTTGCTGACGTCAGCAACCTCACTGTTCATAAAGAGGTCGATGACTTTCTGTCTGCCGAACTGAGTGTCTCACGACACGCTAGCGATGCGATGGCTGAGAGCCAAGACATGCAGAAAGAATATGCAGACGGAAGAAGCAAACGAAATGTTGGGAATATTGAGGTCGGAGACTTGGTATTATCAAATGCTAAAAACTTTCCGACAATTGCGTTCTCTGTTGTCTTTTAGACGAAGCTCTGCCCATGGGAATCTCTTACAGTCGTGGTCAAGCGGGGCCTTGCGTATACGCAAACCTTTTGAAACGGATGCGCACCCACCCGGTATTTTTATGGGCTTGTTCAAACCGTAATGGGATCTGGCGCAAGTTAACGCGGAGGTGTTTGCGCCAGAGCGGCGCCCACGGGCGCTCGACCACCCGGGAACTGGACCAGCTACTGATTTTGAGCACGGAGTGCAACAATTTTTCTCTGTAACGGCGGCAGGCGCTCCACCGTCGCACGAAGCGATCCAATTCTCTGCAAGATAGTTAGGAGCCGCTCAGACAGAGCTCGATAGTCTTCAACATGAGGCAGTTGGTGCACGAAGTACTCCAAGCTCTAGATTTCTTTTGCATTGCGGTATGCAACCTTATCCTCAAGAGCCCGAAGAGCATCGCAAGTCACCGGACGGCGATTGACCAAGTCGTCATCGTCCGCCGCCGACTCTTCTCGACGAGAACGGCGGTTTCCACTATCACGTGGAACGTATTGTGAGTCGATGTCGTCGCCAGGGTCAAACCCAATGCCTTGTGAGGTGGTGGGAGTTTGAAGTGTACTTCGGCAAGACTGTCCAAACGTCGTGGACGCTTTTTACTCAGAGGGATCATGACGTTCCGCGTCGTCGTACACCCCGCGCCTCTCGGCAATAGCCAGGAAAGCCGAAGGGTAATGAGCTGAGCTTAGCTATCGACCTGAGCTTCTGTGGTCGTAGACTCACCCGTATGAGAGGCCACAGAGTTTGCGGGAGCGTGATGGATTAATCCAAACGCCGCAGGGCGACAATACGAAGGGAGTCGACGACGCGCGTTGAGTTTGGCAAACTCGATCCGAAGATGCCGTTCTACGCGCACGTCAACCTACCTCATCGTGGACCCGCTGTAAGTTAGACAGCGAGAAAATTTTCGGTGCCGCTGCAATCATCACTGAAATAACTTGTTGTCATCCGCAGCGGTTTTGCCAGTGGCGAGCACCATATACTCGTCCGCATTGCGGGTGCATGAGCGCCTCCACTTTGGGCGAAAAGTCGAGGCGGTACGTATCCAGCCGGGGTTCTTGTAGACACAAGAAGCAAGCTCGCAGAGCATTTTATTCGTCAGGCTAGTAGCCGGGGCCCTACCATGTAGACGTCCAACAATCGAGTGATCGCGTCTTTTGTAGCGGGATCCGCCGAGCGATAGCCGTATTCCACACGAGAGTCTAGTTCCGACTGCTGCCTCTGTACTTCGTAGAGATTAATGGTAGTGATACCACTTCCCCGAAAGTCGAGAAGTCGGGAAACGGACACGGTGTCCGCAAGGTTCGAGCAGGGCTCACGTCGCGCTGCTGGCGCATCTCGCCCCCCTATTCTTCCCATAAAGGAGTATCCGACTCGCAGTCAACTTCGCCCAAATCCTCGACGAGGCAATCGGTTGCCTATGGCGGGCGCGGTGCACGGTGCACAGTGCTCGGTTGCCGAGGGCTAGTGATGCGCTTCCCTTGAAGCCGCGGACGTGCTGTCTGAAGTTGCACAGTGCTGGAGACGTAGTAGAGCTCTGTCCGCGGGCGATCTTGGAACCATCGAGGCTAATTATCTTTCGTGTTTTAGACACAGGGCTCATTGAGCAGAGAATGCGTGCAGAAGGTCCTGGTGATGTAGAGGTGTCTTAGACACGCGGGCCTCGTACGAGGCGACAGTTAAATGTGAATTGTGGGTGCTCACGATTTTGATGGGAAACTGCAACGGGGTTACACGTACACTGGAATGGAAGGGGTGGGTCACACAAGATGGTGTGGTCATACAAGAGTGTGGGTTACACAAGACGGTGTAATCATACAATGGTGTGGCTACACCTTAACAAGAAGTCAGTACGTGGCTGGACTGCCAGTAGTTTGATCAGGTTTTACTGTTTAATCAGGGGAACACAAGGTTTAAAATATTGGCGGCTTTGCAGCAAATTATACCAAGAAATACAGTTCACATTTTGAGCGGAAGAGTGTATTTGCCTTGGGTTAAGGTTGTTGTTATTCTTGGAGTAAGCGGATTGCGATCCGCTACACCCAAACTGGTTCTCAGTATAGAACGAAGGTGGGTGGTCCTAGCTTAGCTTCCTCTAAGAGAAAGAGCTACGGCAGCTCTGCTGCACGTACTCTCTTCCCTCTCGGCTAAAAGTACGAACAGTCGGGTTTCCACGCTGAGGCGACCGACGAGTTCCTCACGGGGAAACGTCAAGGCCTGATTGGCAGTCCTTTGCTAACACGGAAAGAATTAACGTCTATGTTACCTCATGGAGGCCGTGGTCAATCAGATCCACTTCTAGAAAAGGAGCAATACTCTTTATAAGTGGTTGATATCATCGTTCCTAACTTCGTGAGGTTCTGATGACTTGGAAGTATTGTGCAATTACGTATGTCGTGTGGCATTCAAAACAATAGACGGTACGCGGGAGCGTTAACGACGCCAAATTCGTATACGATATCCATGCGCCGACATTAAAGATGCCAAATACAGACACAATATTCAGGGATTTTGCGACAGAGACACTAGTAGAATTTAAAACTATTTAGGCATCTAATCAAAGTTCAAAGACTTTGACAGCGAAGAATATTGTCTTGTCTTGAACTTAAACTCAAGGTACGATCCCAATCTAGGTCAGGCGCGGCTAGAACGTCACAATCGTGTCGACCGGAAGTCGAAATAACTAGTTTTCACGATTTTATACCTAATATTGGGGTATTGGCAAGTCAAACCCACCCAACCAGGAAAGAAGAAGCACTTTAGCGTGAGCAAGAAATTACAATAGCTTTCGTGCAGGCATGAGGTTGTTCGAATTTGATAGCAACCGTAGTGCTTGTGCAGAGCTTGGAAAATAGAAGCGTCAGTAAGCCGAGGTCTAACGATGAAATGGTAAAGAGCGAAAGTATATGGTGGTCTTTGAATTGCTTCACTCTTGTGATGAGAGAAGCGACTACGCTTCGTGGTCGCTAGGGTGCATCTCTGGCTGGACGGTGTGTCAGACCTGATGAGGAGTGAAGGCGACTGTGCGGCACGGTCTCTTGTGTCACATCCAGTGGATTTAAAGTGAAAAGGACTCATCCTTGTCACTACGTAACAGTAGAACTACTCTGCAACGGGTCTCTTTGCAGAGCAGTGAAGCGCCACGTTTAAGTGTCGTGAAAAATACTCGACCGTAGACAAAGTGATTGGTGACGTTCTGGTTAGGCTGTGAGGGTACTCAAGATTATGTCGCTTCATAGCTCCTCAAGCTTGGAGTGCCTCTTTTACTTATGTACTGCAGGTAATCGCCCATTCTCGTGCGTGGCATCCTAGCTTGAAGACCGCGAGCGCCACGCGCTGTTGCTCCGTTTGAAGCACAGTCGATCTCATGGCCATCTGAATCTCCTTCGCATAAAGGTCCCTGATAGATTTTCTCCGTCTCGGCCTGGACACTTAGTATCAGTAACCTCACGGTCGGTACTATATAATTTCCGGCGCCTAGGTGGGGTGCTTCTGGTCCACGTATACCACGAATTCCTCCTTTTTGGAGTCTCATCATCTTCGTAAATAACGATATCTGATACTTGTGAAGATTCACAATTAATATTTGAATTTCGCACAGTTGTATCAAATGTATAGGGTCCACATGTTCAACCCATCCGCCTCATCAGGACCAGTAGTACCTTGATAGTCTAGAGGTTGTAATGAATAAATACATTGTAATGGTACTAAGTCACACATGCGTTATGTCTCGACACCATTTTTCAACAAAGAGCTGCGCGACTTCATGTCGCCCTCGGGCACCTCAAATTAGCGCAAAACTTTTAGTCCTATATCTGCTCGCAGTCTCGTGGTGTGCAATACACTATCGAATCCCAAACGACAATGAACCTACTTCAAGGGAAGAGCAACCAATACCTTCGCGATGCCATCTTGGAAGGTAGCGTGGAAAAAGCGCGGCGCTACCTAACTCTCAAGATTGGCAAAGCGGATGTGGCTGCACTCACCGAGAGCGGAGGCTTTACCATGTTGCATTGTGCCTGCCTCGTAGGGAATACTCAGATTGCCATGATGCTGTTGCAGTACGGGGCTGATGTGCTCGCCCTCACAGATGTAATTATGTAAAATCTCTTTTAATACTTAGAGGCTTACTGATTGATGCCACGGCAATCAGGACGGCTACTCGGCGCTAGATCTGGCCATCTGGAAAGGCCACTTACAGATAATAGAGCTGCTGCGGTCTCAGGGCTGCGTAGCGCCTATGAAAGGTGCGCTGCCTAGATGGTAATAATCTGTAACCAACTCAGCGTCGCTGTTGTTAGAACCTGATAGTCTCAACGGTAAAGTCATTTCCCACCTGGGTCGTAAGGCCACTGTCGTCTTCTTTGAACCAAGCACTAGCATACGGACGAGCAGCCTACGCGGTCTCTATTATGAAGATAAAGGAGAGGCTAAGCTCGTAAACCTTTGGGCTGGGTTGGATTATAAAATTGTCGGCTCAAATCCATATTTCGAAGAGCTGCGCAAGCTTGATTATCAGTACGCAGAGATCCCAGTAACGCTACCAGAGGAGTACGATGCAATGCTACAGGGAGCGTTGCAAGGAGCAGCCTTCTTTGACAATGACAGTGACAGCGAAAGTGAAAACGAGATCGAAGAAGTTATCGAGGTCAGAGTACCTCCTGGTCCTTTAGGTGTTCTGCTTGATAGCGGGATCCAAGAGTGCGCGGTTGTTCATGGGTTTACCAATCTCGGGACTGGTGAGAAAGGACCAATTGAGCTACATGGCGACGTGTACCCCGGCATGTACATCATGAGCATTAACGAAGCCAATGCATCGCTTATGTCACTGCAGCAGGTCACTCAGCTGCTGGGTAAATTGGCTCGCAAAGAGAAGCTTATTCGCTTTGCCGTCTTTCGTCCGGGATCTCCTCGTAATCGTAGCGTGAAAGACACATCCTCCCAATTTTCAGATCAGCGCTCGTCGATCACTTCCAATGTGTCTTTGCCACCACCCGTACCAGCACCTGCCAAGCCGCCAACACCAAATTCCACTCGCGCCAGCTTTAGCTCCCGTTTCGCCAATCTAGCAGCTTCTGTTATGGATAAAAGATCGTCTACTTCTCGAACCAGCTTTACTTCTTCTGCAGGCGCAAAGACGCCATGAGCTTACGAATTTTAAGCCAAAATCTACTTGTTACGATAAATGCTGGACGCAATTTCAGTTGCTACACACTATCTTTATTGTTGCTGCTTTGTTCTGCTTAGATACAGAGTTGTACACGAACTCAAATTGTCTTCTGTTGGCTAGCTAAATATAATACGTTGGCAGAGTGCGCTGCCACCACACCGATCTATAGCACCTTGTAAAGCATTCCGCGGAAAACATCGGGTCCCGGCAAAGTCCACGACGCAAGCGCACAGTTCTGATTGAAAAAGTATTGTTTGCCTGTAGTCTGTGATATCACCGTTTGCCACCCAATGCCGGTACCGTCTGGACTTTCACCAACGTCTTCAAAAGTTGAGTCTACTAGGTAGTCCACGAAGCTGCCATCACCCATAGCTAAAGTCAGATTGAACAAACTTGTGCGAGGTTCAACGTGTTGCTTCAAATCCTGCTGTGCTCGTCGTGCCGCTGGGGCTGCATTCCAATCCAGCAAGCTAATAAAATTAGCCGCGATTTTGGCTGCACGATCGGCATTGGCCTTTGATTCAAAAGTCGTAAGTGCAGCCATCGCTGTTTGAGTGCTAGCCGGAGTCTCTGTCGTCGAATTCATTTCTTCACGAAGATTACGAAGACTAGCCGAGATTTGGTTCATGCGGTCAAGATGAGCTTGCAAAGCTTCAACTTGTAGCGTTTCCTCGGACTCAGAGGTCTTAACACCTTCTGTTAATGCTTCTTTGGATACCTGGCTAGCCAATGGAATCTGAGGAGGTGCATCACGCGCTTTCAAAGTGCCACTGGAATTTGCCATACTGGTTGTGAGCATGTCTACTACTAGTTTTGCTGAAGGCGGGCGCGGAGCTGGCGCTCGCATCGACTCTTGACTATGTCGTCCACCCAAGCCAACGACTAGCTTCTTAGTAACCTTATGCACCATCACCGGCACTTCAACTTCCTCCATTTCTACACTAAGCCGTATCGGACTGCACATACTCTCCAACTCATTTTCGACTACATTGAGTTCTACTGATTCGTGACTGCGTCGCAGTGCGATTCCAACATTTAAAGGCTCAACCTCTTCGACCGTCAGTTCCTCAATTTCCACTGAATCTAGATAACTCGTTGATTCACTTAGAGACTCGCTCTCCACGATCTTCGAGTTTTCGTCCACGGTAAGATAGCTGGCGGAATCTGAATCGCTAGACATCGTGTCTAAGCCGGCATTTTCTTCCTCGGTGAGAAAGCTTGCCATTTCTACCTTGTGAACTGTCGGTGTATCCATATTCATCATTATAGCCTGCGATTGGGATGAGAGCAAAGCTGTATATCCGTGCCCTTCAGTGTGGAGAAAATTACCAGCATCGTCCCCGGTGTACTCCTCTTCTTCATCACTGTACTCTGCGAGCTCAGCTGCTTCGGCTGTATAATCTCTCTCGAATCGTGTCGGCTGCAATGTATTTGTTTCCTTGTACTTGCCAATGCCTAAATCTAGCTCGACGCGAGTGGTAGAAGCCAAATTTCTATCACTTAGCAATTGAGGCTGTAGCTCCACAACGTCTAATTGATTTTCTCCGACTCCAGGTGATGATGGAGATGTGAAAATCCGTTCGATTTTGTTTACTGAAGGAGACATCGCACGAAACTGGAAACTGTTGGGAGTCTGATTGCGCAAGCCAGTGGAGCCATTACCGCAGTTTTGATTCTTATCTTCGACTGAGTCGCGCGAGCTTGTACCTGTCGTAGAGTCAGAGAGAAAGCTGCGTCGATTTTCGTCCACTATCTTTCCTGCAGACACATTCGAGCGAGCTAAAAACGAGCCGTTTGACACTGAGCTGCGAATACTTCCTTCTGAACTGACACGAGAGCTGTCGCTTTGTCGTGCAGAAGAGGATCGGCGCGGAAGTTCTCGACTCTGCATTTTGCTACTGCACTTTACGCAAATTCGTGTCTTGCGTTTGCCGCCAGGTGCTGATAGATCACTAAGTCGCTGAAGCGCAGTCACGAGCTCCAGTACACTACATTGACTACAGATTACGTCGCCACATGCTGCACAATTATACTTTTTCCGCACTAGCGAAAAACTACGCGTACAAACGACACAGCAAACACGGCGACTAAGCGGAACCAATTCTTTCGGTCCTGCGTACACAAGCATATCAAGTCGACGCTGGTTAATGTGGTCTCGAATACAAGCAGAGCGCAAAGCAGCTGTGTCGACCATTTTGTGCACCAGCCACGACGGCAATCGATCTCCAAAATCGTTAATCACCATAGTCACAAATTCCAGACTCCCCGGTGCTCGCTCACTCCATGTCTGCAGCATCAGCGTTTTTGCGTGGACCAGCAAATTTTTGGCATCGCGGGGCGGGGGCGCATCAAGATCTACACTTTTACAAAGTCGGTATCCAATACGGCGGCCGTCGCTGTCTTCGAACGAATCCACAAGCTCTACGTAGACATAGTCTCTATGTTTGGTCACTGAAGGGGCAAGTGATCGCAAGCAATGATACTTAATACAAACAAAACGTTCTTCTGATGTGCGTGGCACCAGTGTGTACAACACTTGTCCATCCAAAAATTCGCTCGGGTTTACAGCAGTTTCGTGCTCTGCAAAATCGACGGTTGTTTCTGTAATAAGCAGGTCGCTCATCTCTCGAAATGTAGCGCTGACGTTGCAGCTTCCTCTTACAGCTGCGTCTAATAGCGTGTTATCGGGTCCACTCCTTGCTCGATGAATAGTCACGCCATCTCTCGTTCTGCTAGGTGTCCAGCGCACACGTCCAAATCCCAGGCTCAGATTATAAGCGTCGTCCACAGACCTGTCAATAAAGTTAACAAGTGCCTCGATACGCTCAGTTGAGAGCTCTGGGAGGCTCTGTGGTATATCGCTCGTCAGAGATGACATGCTTTCGTCACGAAGACTTGATGGTGACGTCGCGGACGATGAACGCGCGGAAGGCGAGCTTGTAGACAACGATATCACAGATGTTAAGCCTCCAAAACGCGAGGAGGTCAAGCCGAGCGACGGGGGCGGAACTTGCGACCTCGACGATGACAGAGAAGGCTCGGGCTTTCTCAAACGTGGGTGGCCTCGATATCTATGCTGCTGGGAAGCATCAAGAGACTCATTTTCATCATCATCATTTCGTTCTAAGTAAAGCAAGCGTCTTCCATTGTCTCGGCTACTATCAGTGCCTGTCTGCACCTGACGCCGACGGCGGTGCAAATTGAACTTGGCGACGCTTAGCGCTGCATTGAAGGTTTCAGAAGCAGCGACACCAAGTGCTGAGACGGCGGAAGGGGCCGAGCTCACAGTAGTATTTCCATGCATAGGCAAGGATGCACCGCGTGGCGACGTGATAAAAGGCGCGTACTCGGGGCGCGGCATGCCGCTGCGGACTGCCTATGAAGTCTGAAGTCTAGAGAGGGAGAGGGGAGTCACAACCACATGGCGAGGTTAGGTTATCCTATCACTTGCGCGATGTAAGAGCCGGGTATATCATATTAATTTCAGGTTATCGGCCGTTGCTTGGTTGTGTGGTGTGTTAGAAGCCATTTCGCGCAAGAAATTGATCGAACGATGCGAGACGACGACTAATCATAATTTATCTATAAGAGACGTTACGATATCTGCGTCCAAGTGAAGGTTGTTTGACCCGTGGGTACGCCAGCGAAACCGGCAAAGGCAGATTTTGTGGCCAGTAGGGGCGAGAGGTGTACACAGAACAT